ACCAGGTGGTACTCGTTGAAGATGTGGATATTGGTAGTGGAAAGTGAAATGACGCGACTCGTGAGGTAGCAAATTTCCCCAGAGACAAGACCACACTTAAGCACTGGTTCACCAATGAATCGATTGTGGACGTACCAAGCAGAAGCTGGTGGCACATGGCGTGAAAGTAAGTGATGTAGATATTAAATATCTTTAATCCAGGTGAACCTGGTAACTAAAGTTTTTGGCTATGGATGAAAATGTTAAGATTTGAGGTGAAAGCATACTTATATGGCCATACATGACTTGAGGTGGTCAAAAAATCATTGCTCGTTTGGGAATAAGTAGCTAAATCAGTTGACATTATATTTAAACTACCAGTACGTACTAGTCTGGCAAGTAATTCAGTACTAGCTCATGAGATGGTGGGTCAACCCACAGGTTTTAACTGTTAGTGAACATGTTTGCTCGAAAAGTGCCACTTTGATTGCATTAAAACGTTAGTTTTCAATGAGCCTGTTGCATAGCTTTAGCAGAAAGCCTATTATCATTGAAAGATGTAATGTTTGTATGGTATAGGCTTGAATAAATTTCATATTGCGCAAAACCTGTAAGTGTTCATTGTTGCAGGGAATAGTGGGAGTGATTGGTAGGAGCCATCCTGGGGCATCTCGTGCAGAACGAGCACGCAAGACTCATCGCGTCAACGTGATCATTTACTCCTGAAGACTACTGCTGTTGCCATAGAGGTAGATGGTGCACCAAAGAAGCTATTGATTTGATGTCTTCGGGCCTTTACTGGAGACTAAAGGTGAGCTTGTGTTAAATTTGTGGACTAAAAGCTGTCGTAGAGGCGGCCAATAGTAATGGTAACATCACTTTAGTGCTGTAGTGAAAGTTTTGCGCTTCCCCTCATGCAGTTGTTTGGAAAAATGTATGATTCGTAGGGAGTGTGAAGGACTGAATACGTTTGAACGAACTGCCGATTGAAAAAACCTAAAATGAATAGGCCTTAAGTTAGCTTTGATATTTAGATGTGTATTGATAGTACTTAGAACCCACGTTGGTTCAAACGTTGTTCCTCGGGTTCGACCTTGTATAACGTTCTGTGTAATAGAATAGTATGCCTAATATAGGTCAAATAGGTAGTTAAATGTATTTGTATGTAACACGTGCCAAGTATGTAAATATAATATTAATTTGGAATACATTTGTGACCAAGTGGCACATTGTGTTGGGGCCGTGTATGAAATGTGCTTTGAGCTCCACGTGGGAAATGAATATGGTGTCTTTGACAGTTTGCGAATGGGCATTGAAGGTTTGGAGGGTGCGTTAAGATGGCAGTCGTCAGTGGTTAACCGTTAATACAAAACGCGGAGATGTTATGACGGTTGTTTACAGTAGTCAGTAGACGTATCACCGAAGGTTAATTTAGCGAGCTTCCCTTAAGAAAAGTTTAGGTGAACTGGATGTGAGCACCCAGTTGAGATAGTGACCCTTGGGTTGGTGGGTTAATGTCTTGCGTTTAGAAGTGAGACTAGGACGGGAGCGGAATGTAGCGGAATGTAATGTGTGTTTATTAGCCAAATATGTTTTTGGTATGGTGTGATATTGGTTGGCTAGTTGTCCAAAGTGGATAATATAGTTTACGAATGGTTAACTAGTTGACTTTTGGCACCGTGAGTGAATAGTACTTAGCTGTGAAAGTTTTGCCGGAATTGGAATGATCGTTGTGATTTATATATTGGAAGTAGAAATGATGATCGTGTCAGATTTTTTTGGTGGGAAAGGAAAAAGTTTAGCGAGTATAATTGAAATTATTCCATCGTTGATATGTTAACAATTACACGTTTAGTCAAATACTGGCATGTTGGCGAGAACTAGGTGCAATGACACGAAGTATGGAAGTAACTGCGTTGTTTTGTTAGTAACAAGAGAATGGTAAATGTAATAAAGTAGATGAGTAAGCATTGAGAGGCCATGCATGTAAAGACCGGGAAAGCCTGCTAATGGGAGACTGTTAACGGTTTTAGCACCTGTTTATTCCTAGAATAAAGTTTTGGGTTAGTGCAGCCGTTATTAGTGTACCGCGCCGAAGGTAGTCGTTGTGTGTTTACGGTTTCAATATAGAGGGAGTGCAGCAAAGTTCATTTACGCGCTGATGATATCCGCTGGTTGATAAGGTAGTGGCATTCGGTGAATATAAAAGAAGGGATCATGGAAGATCGGCGACATGCAAAAGATTACGAAGTGGGCGGGGGTGTCATGTGGACAGTGGGCTGTTGAAATAGTGTAGAGGGTTGAGCCTAAGAGCCTACTTCGAGACAGGAGGGCAGGAACGTTTGACCACTGTAATTATAACCATATGTGGATGCCATTGCGCGAGTTTAAGACATTTCCGTAATAAGCCATTTTTATCATTTAGTGAATCGTGGAATAAAGAAAAAAAGTTGACAAATCCAGTTTTGCAGCAGCAGCAGCATCATCATGATGTCGGTCGATAGTTTTTTTCTCCCTTGTGGGGAGGGTGAAGGGTTAGCGTGTGCCTAGGTGAATAGAATGTTTATCCATAAATCCTTTGAAATAATGTAATAAATTGAATCGAAAGGGCAAAGATTTGAAATGGGGCTACAAATGGAAGCATTTACTCATAAGAAGGACCATGTACCGTTAGTTTAGTTCATGTATTATGCACCCCATACCCATGTTGTGGGGGTTAGTGGCAAGGGTTAGAGGCACATAATGGGCTCAGGTACTGAACCCCACAAATCATTTAGCTAAGCAAGTTACAATCTTGAGCTAGTTACAAAATTCAATATAAGTGGTCACATCAACAATGGGTTCGAGATGGACCTCAAGTACAGGTTCTAAATTAAGCAACTGACATATGTGGAGAGGTAGTGTCAAAATTTGTTTGTCCTGCACACCGCCCCCCATCCAGTGGGCAGCAGTGGATAGGCTACAATGACTTAGTTACTACCTACAGTTAGCAAACTGGGGATATTTAGCAAAAATGTGGTATCAGATAATTTTGAATGAAAATATTGAGACATTGCTTGAACATTGGTTATAGAATTGTCTGTAAATTAACGTATCTTTTCGCACTCCATCACATAGCAGTGTTTTCGAAGAGGAATGTGTAAGGATGTTGAAATGTAAAGATTACGGATAGCTAAGCACAGGATGGAGATAATTATACTGTATGTTTGACTCTGATGACTGGGTGAAAGATCCGACATAATGGGCGCATGTACACTAGTAAATATGCGTAAACGCAACTACCAGTTCTTGAAGGTGGGCCTGCGTGTGGTGTCTGAAATAGGTCGATAGTGCCATTGTCAGACATATCCTTCCCTTTTGAAGCTTTAAGGGTATGTGGGTACAGATTTAACATATGTAACCGATAGGGGGGAAGGTTTGAATATAGGTGGGGTTCGTGTCCATGTAGAGGGACGTAGACCTAAAGTTGGTAAAGGTTCGCTTGAATTATAGAGCTGTTAGTCTTTGAAGTTACTTGCATTGTCTTGTTGTAATGTTCATAGTAATTTAAGGTCAGCGTTAATCATGGCCAACGTGTCATAAAAATCAGAATTTTCCCGTGGAGGGTATGTAAATGTTCCGGTCGATTCGCGACAAATGGTAGGCTCATTTTCACTGGAGATGTGACCCCTCGTGCGAGTATTTGTCTTGAATACTGTGTAGGTGGCAGACGATGGGTACGGTACGCGTGTTGATGCATCTGATATTAGTGGCTGGGATTATGTAGCGAGGAGATAGCAGTCGCTCTGGCAGTATTGTTGGTAGATGAATTAAAAGCAACATGCTTAGGTTGTTAAATGTCAAATGTAAAAAAGTTTTGTAATATGGGTGAGCTTCAGGTTTTGGTCCACGGGATGTTGGTTATAGTTGTTTAGCAGGAAGGATATGGTGGGAGAGTTGGTTTTGTTAAAAGTTGTGTATTGGGAACGGGCAGATGTTTATATTTCCCTTGAACATTAACCATGAATGTGTCGTCATATAGGTACAGCAAATAGCGCTTATAGGCAAATATTGTGGAGTTAATGTTGGGTAGCGAGGTGTGCAAGCCAGATGAAATTGGACGATTGGGGAATTGTGGGGGAGCACTAAATGCCAGGAAGTGTAATGAAAATCCTGTCGTGTTAGCGTTGCAATTGTATGTATAGCAGTGTTGTCATTTCTGGGAACCCCAGACATGTTATGACTGTGCTTTGGTGTTAAAATATATAAATGAGTAGTCAGAGGTGCAACACATGGTTTTGCCAAAAATTGTAGTTTTGGTCAGTGTTAGAAATGGGTAGACATCAGTACGTAATGTATACAATGGTACAGGTTGATGTAAGAGAATATGTAGGCAATAATAGTGTAGTTTAGAGCGTTCATAAGTAAATGATTAAGTGCTACAATGTATGAAGGTAACATTTATTATGTAATCTTTCCTATAGGGAGTGTGTGTAACGGTACTGTGGGGCCGGAACAGAGATGGTATCTGTTGTCAGAAACCAGCATGGTTGGAGAAAATGAGCAATGGCAATCTCCAGAGTAGGAATTGAAGCGTGACCTACAGGCCACTGTTATCTACAAGGCGAGTCTGATGAAATGTAGTTTTGTTCCCCAATAATTGAGTTTGAGTCCATAAGCATTGTTGGTGTTGTATAAATCGCATACAAATAATCATGTGGTGTACTTTGAGCATTAGGCATCATGAGAGCCAGACTTACTAGTGTTGTAGTGGAACACTTATTGCAAGTATAGTCTTAGAAAAGTAATGAAAGGGCCACCCAGTGGCTTAAATAGAGGAAGGGTGTGGGAAAAAGGGTTGTTGTTGATTGATGAGAGTTTGAGGGAGTTTTTAGTGTAAAAAATTGAAATGTAGTGTCTGGAAAATAAAGTAACTCTGTATCTATGGTTGTAAATCCTAGCTCCTGTTTTCTTAATGAGAGAATGTGGGTTGTAAGGGGCAGGTTGGGTGAATTAAAGTTGCATCCCCCCCCCTCTGCAGACAAATATCTCAAGTTGTAAAAAAAAAAAAAAAAAAAGATTGGTTTTAAATGAAAGCAGTTGTATGATTAAACACTTATGTTTAAAGGAGGGATTTAAACATGTACATAGTCGAGCCTAGTACCATAACTATGAAGAGGCAATATATTGTTATTAATAAAACAATAGAAAATGTATTAGTATATTAAAGTACCTAAAACATGGTGTAAGTAGTATTAAGAGATGTGATTGAAATTGATGAGCTTTTAAGATATAGTAAAGAAAAGTAATGAAACAAATGTTCATTTATATATTAAGTTTTCATATAAATGTAATCAATAGAGGTTGAGAGTCGGAATAAAATATTTTCCACACAAGGGACACTCGTAAGGTTTTGTATGGTTAGAGAAAGAATCAGTAGGTGCAGTACAATATTAAACTGAATGAAATATATGGGGTTGCCTCAGTTTGTAACGGACGGAGTTATTGGATGTAATAGTTATACAAGCATAAAAAATGCAAATGTTATTTGTGTAACATTGAATATACTTGTGACTGGTGGGTGGCTCTGACAAGTGTCAGACTGGATAACTGTTTTGTAGTTTAGGCATGATAGTTCATCACAGGTTTGTTGTAGCATTGGTACATGAATAATGTTTTAAGTGGGTTGCAGAAGGATGATAGGTGGTGAGGGTGTGAGTTTCTGTGCTCCACTTTACAAATAATAGATTTGGAGGAGGAAATGTTCCTTGTAGATATATTGTGCAGGTACTCCACCAGTTGTAATCACTGGTAAAGATAAATTGATAAGGTGTCGTTAGGTAATAAATGTGTGCTAAGGCATAGAGGTGTGTTTTGTGCAGTAACGCG